GGTGCGCGAAAAAGAGGGAGTGAGTGCGGGAGAAGGAGGGCGGGATAGTTAGAAAGAGAAGGAGTGCGGACATGATCGTGCAGCGGAAAGAAGAGGGAAGCACTAGAGACGTTGGTGTATGGGTCGCATAGCCGCACGCGCGTACGCTCCAGGCCGTGAGCGCGCGCTTGTGCGTGTGCGCTTTTGCGCGTGTGTGCGTCTCCCTCGAAGATGGCGGACGTATTGGCCGCGGTGGCGGCGGCTCGAGGAAGTTTTGCGTGCCTATGCAGGCCCCGGGCGAACGCGCCGCGAGTCGTTTGAGTGTCGGAGTGCGCTCGTTCGCGTCCCGGTTCGTCACTACGTGTAACCTCGCCAGGAGGCGGACTGCGACGCGAAGAGACGCCAGGACTTCAGCAACGTATTCAACGCTGCCCCCAACGAAGACATCCTCCTCGGGGTTAAGACGTACACACGCATAAATATACACACTCGTACACTTGGAGACACACGAAATATATATATATATATATATATATATATATATATATATACACACACATATATATACGCATATATCCGCATATATCCACATATATATATATATATATACATATATATATATGCACATAAACACATATATGTTCATATAAACATATATTTATATATATATATATATATATATATATGTGCATGTGTGTGTGTGTGTGTGTGTGTATATCGAATTATTATTTTCAGATATACATAAATATTAAAATCATAAGCATTTAATAATTTTTCATTTGTCAAATGATAAAGCAAAATTCTTCTATTTATGCATGTTTATACGTGCATAAATATGCGCGTATAAATAAATAAATGTATATGTGCATAAGCATTCGCGCGTAAGTATGTGTATGCACGCATGCGAAAATATGTGAGTGCGAACGTCTCTGTGTAGGCGCACGTACGTACGCACAGACGTCTATAAAGTACCTTGCGCGTGTGGAAGTGTGTATACCCGTGTTTTCCTTCGTACAAGATTTATACTGGCGACCTGGCCCAACGAGGAAGACGGCGACGGGAGCCGTTGAGCGTGTTTGTGATGCCCCAGCCCTCGCACCTCCTCCCTCTCCCTCCTGTCCCTCTCTCATGGTCTCATTTGCTCACGCCAGTTGCTGATTTTGCCCTCTGCCTGTCGCTCTCTTCCATCGCCTAAATGGCCGACGAGCGGTGATTCTCTGCACACGTACACATACATACCGCTTGGAAAAATATGAGGCACCCAGAGAGCATTTCATAATCCACCGCCGAGCTTTCAGGTATGAATGATAGTGCCCTGACAAGAGAATAGATGTTGGATGTTTTCATTGGCCATTTGACAATGGAGCCTCCAGGTTGTAGACAATGATGCAAGTAGCCAGGACCTTCGAACGTTGCCCTTAGCTTAAGTCACCGTTACAAGAGTTATTGCCTCTTTCCCCGGACTACTCAATTTTAGATTAATGACAGATGAACGTTTGGGATTATACCGTAAGACCGGAGCAAGTTTAATGATAATATTAATATTGTTAAAAATATAGTATCAAAATATATATTTTTGCTAATTAACGTATATCCTATTATGAATGATCTTTTATCATGTTAACTCGATTCAAATTGCAATATTTAAGCAAAAGTACATAATATTAATAATTATGTTTTATTTATATTAAACTTATGCTAGCCTTGCCAATTATTGTTTGTATATAAGAATATAAACAAAAGCGTAGTTTAGAATTTATCAGAGCAAATTTTTTTAAATCTTGATGTTTAAAAATCATTGCTATTAATACAAATTCTAATTGTACTTTTATTTATACCACATTTATAAGGAATTTAATTTTCCATATACTGTTCCATATATTGTTTAATGCTGTAATTTTTAAGAATAATTGTTATCGTGATAATAAATAAATAACATAAATAATGACAAAAATCTAAATGCCTTTGATAGTTTTAATAATATGGATTGATAACCTTGTAATAATATTGTTAAAATCTAAAGTAATTGAAAATTCCCAAAGTAATTCTATCTTATAATAGTTATGAGATAAACATTTGGAAAGTACTATAAAAATATGTATTAACTTGATCTTTTATAATTGCAATAAATGAAAAGGTAGTCTTTATGATCTTTACTTAACAATATTAATTAAAATATAATTAAAAGATAATTTTGATATTACGATAATGAAAACATTTTTGGAATATTCGCTACAAGTAAAATTTCAAGATATATATAAAAATTTGATGAAATGTGTTTGTTACATGAAAGAAACTTTATTTACAGATTAGCATGATTTATTTGATTATATTTTATAATAAAATATATTATCAGAGAGTTCATGATAATATATAAATAATTAGGTTTCAATTATGATTTTCTACTAATTATCTTGTATACTTAAAAATATATATGAAATATGATGCAGAAGTGTCGAATACAATTAAATATGTTCATTACCTTTAAACAGAGACACTTAAAAAAATGGCAGAATCTGAGGATAGTTCAGCATCGCCGGACAGTACGACGAGAGAGCGTCTTGGATTTGTTCATGGTGAAGATGTTCTCCTTCAACACAAAGATGGAAAATACTATCTTGGAACGATTGTTGAGGTACAAAAATTTATTTATACTTTTAATAATTTTCAGAGTTCTCATAAAGTTTCAATGTCAGTCTGTCTAAATTATTTTTCTTGAATTAAATATATATTTATAAGCTTCTAGTTATAGATATTATTAGAATTAGAATTAGTCTAAAAATGCGTTTAAACTTTGTTCTTAGCTGTAAAACATTATTAAAATCTTTCTTTAAATATAAAACTATGATTGTTCTCTTCATCATTTCTCTCATCGTGAAATCTTATTTCTTCGCTATCTTGGTATAATTGTAGTAGTTATGTCTATATTATATATATAATGTTGTATACAATGATATATACATTTGCATGAGTGCGAACGCCGCGTATCCATGTGTGTTTGTATACATGTGCGTACTATACAAACAATGAGTTTAAATATTCTAATGTACGTATAATAGGTGGATCTGGCAAGAGAAAGATGTCTTGTTAAATTTTTGGATAATACATCCTCCTGGTCATCGGTTAAAGAGCTGACAAAACTTGCATCAGAGTCGGATGTTACATGTGTACTATGTAAAAAGTCTCAGCCCAGAACTGACAATGACATTATTACCTGTGACAAATGTGGTCGTGGTTATCACCAGTTCTGCCATCAGGTATACTTATAAATATATAATATTTATAATTTAATTATATGATAATATATTTATATTTATTTTGTGTATATATTTGTTAGTTGTGAAAACAATTTAATTTCATAAATTAAATGATAAAAGTATAAATCGTATAATTGGAATAAACTTGATTCTATTTTATGATAAATTGCATGTCAAATTTTATGTCAACTTGATGATTGTGAAGGAAATGTGGATATTGTCATGATTTAATTATTATCACTTATTTAAATTAATTTTGAATATTAAAAAATTCTCTATTATTGTTTCATATTAGGTCGATGGATTGTTAATTTCATGAATACGCTATAAGAAAATTAAATCTACAATTCGCTAAATATTTATTATAAAATACGTATTAGCTTGGAAAATAATATTACCAAGTAGTTTCTCACTATGGAATTCGATTATTCCTTTGTCTTATAATTATTAACAATTTTATAAGAAATTTCCTTATAATATTAAAGTCTCATAATTACTAATTTAACTTAATCGTCTTCCGCAATAATATTGCATATAGTAATAAAAATTCAATAGAGAATAATTTCTGTTAATTTAATCGATCGATCTGTTTGCCCGTTTATTTACAGCCTCAAATCAAGAAAGAGGAAACACTTCCCGATGCACAATGGAAGTGTAAAAAATGTTATGACTGCAATGTCACTGAGCCTAAGCTACAAAAAGAAATAAAAAAGTCTATGGTTAAGCCAAACATCAGAAAAGTTTGTAGTGGCAGAGATCAACCACTTCCTCCACCGGAAGATACAACTAAGTTACCGTATGATGTACGTTATGATTTTGGAAAAAATTAACACCAAGTAATAGGGCCAATTTGACATTTATAAAAATGAATGGCAAAGTGCCGAGACAATAAATTGAATTAAAAATATAATGATTTGAATAGTCATAGAATAGGAAATAATGCGATATGCGATTTCGTTCCAATTTTTATACAACCGTATAGAAATATGTCGTCTTATCCAATAAATTTATATTTATATTAACTTTCTTTGTAATTAAGGTGAAATTGCGAATAACGCTATGCTGCTAATTGTTACATAAATATGAATTTCTTTCTTATTACAGCCTGAAATGCTGAATTGGGATTCTCATCATAGAGTAAATGCTGAGCAAATTTACTGTTATTGTGGCTTGAACGGAGAGTGGTACACCCAGATGTTGCAGTGCGCTCGCTGTAAACAATGGTTCCATGAGAAATGTATAGGCTGTTTATCCTACCCTCTTTACAGTGGAGACAGGTACATTTGATTACAATAAATTCATGTTGCTGTTGTTGCAATTGTGTGATATTCAAATAAATATCTAATTTTATAGATTTTATGTATTTGTTTGTTCGATGTGCAATTATGGCAAGGAATTTGTACGACGATTAGAATTAAAATGGGTAGACCTTGTTCACTTAATGTTGTACAATCTAACAGTTTTCAATGCAAAAAAGTACTACGATTTAGATACTGTAATTGTACCATACGCAAACGATAATTGGAACACATTACAATTACCATCAAGAGTAAGTAACATGCACTTGAATTGTGTGTAACGTAGATTACAGTAAAAGTCAATCAGAAATTCAAATTTATCAAATGTCATCCTATTTCAATAACTCAGAAGCAAATAATAAAAATTCCTTTTAATTTAATTTCTGAATAATTACTACTGTATATTGTTTCAATTAAATGAACATAAACCTGTTTAAGTATACTTTTTTTTTATTTAGATTCGCAATGTAAGTGCACAGGTCCGTAGGGAATCCATACTCGCGATATTAACAAACAATAGGAATAGGTTTAAGTGTGGCAGAGAAATAAAGAAACGCACGACGATTTGGGGTTTGAGGGTGAGATTACCTCCTCCCTGTCCAGTCGTCAATCTTCCCACGACTGGTATTATCGACGACTCTGTACTGCGGTGTTGCTGGGGTGCTAATAATAGACTGCAATTTCTTTCTCCAACCTCTGGGTGGGTAGATGCACAGTAATGGTTAAAAATAAAAATTAATCTGAAAAATCGTTTCCTTTTTTTTTTTGATAATTTTTTTTTTTTTTTTTTTTTTTTTGTATTTTTGAATTTTGTTCTTTTGTTTTATTCTTGATCCAGACAAGAAGTATTATCAGTTTGCAATTTCTGAAAGGTCATTGATTTTATTTTGCATTTCTGTTTTGAACAAAATCAAAATAACTTTCATTTTTAAATCAAGATTCGATAATGTCTTTTGGAAAATTAGCTCAATAAAGTTGTAAATATAAGTGTATTTCCTTTTTAGGCCTTTGTCTTTGTCAGAAAGTACAAAGCAATTACATACCTTGAAACAGAGTTTGGCGGAGAGCTTAGAGATACCTGTAAATCCATCAGATGTAGTTATGCGTGGTACAATCTATCAAAATTCAGAGGCTGACCAAAGCTCTGGTCCTAGTCCGACCAATCAGTTATCTCAGACCTTGAGAGAAAGGTATATGCCACGGCAAATAAGTTTTCTTGTCTTGTTTCTGGTCTTGATCTATTATAATTTTGATAAAATTTCTGAGCTCTTAATATTATTAAACCTTTCGTGGTCTCGCAAGCTCCAAGGCATAAAGTTATCTATATTAAAAACAATAATAATAATAATAATAATAATAATAATAATAATAATAGAATCCTATGTATGATAAATGATCAAATTAATTCATAATATTTATCCTTTTTATTTGTGTTTTTATTTTTCTTTTTTTTTTTTAAATCGTAAAAATGTACAAATTATAATGAAGAAAAGTAATAATGGGCACGTCATCTAGGCCAAGGCATATGATATTCCTGCGATATATAGAAGTCACAATAATTAATGTGAAATATTTAAAACGCTAAGTATTTATATATTTAAAACCCTGGATAAAAGAGGATTAGAATAAAATATACTCGTAATAATAAAGAATATTGACGGTAAGATAATTCGAAAATATTGAATTACTTCATAAACCGTATGACGCAGCATGAAAAATGTTTTATTTTTACATTAACAAACATTATTCTAGCAAGCACAAAAGAATAAACATGATATAACTAAATTCTTATTGTTTATATTTAATTATTAAATATCACACTTTTACATTAATGCTATTTATAGAAATTCCATTAAGCAAATAAGTAAATAAGTAAACAAATAAACAGTTACGGATGTATATTGGAACACAATGTAAAACCGAAAGTCCAATGAAAATTTAATCGTTTTCTTTTAGGTTAATGCATACACGATCGTATGGCATGATGTATGTGTACATGAGCCAATGTACGGATGATAGCATTAAACAAACATTCTCGCGTTGTCTCGCATTTAATTTAAAATCGAGTAATAATCGGTCAAAGTCAAAGCAGTGAAATTTTAATTCAAGTGTTCCTTTTAGATACAGCGGAGGTGGTTTCGTGAAGAAGTCTTTCCCATTCCCAAAGCTCAGCCTGCAGAGGCGACGACGACTTATGGCACTCGGTAGCTCGCGCGAGCGGATGCTACGTAAGCACAAGAAGCGAGATAAGCTTGGGGGGGAAGGATCGATAAAGGCCCTGGGCATCAGGGAGGCTAGGTATCGTAAGGCCAGGAAGCTGCTGAAGAATGCTATATCTGCCAAGGTAATGAGCAGTCATTACATTTACTTATTAAAACAAGCAAGTTTTTTGCTCCAATTACTTTGGAAAATCGAATTTCCTTAAGCTTTAATTTAATTTAATTTGCGGTATTAATCGTTGCTTAATGTCAAAAATTCATATTGTCACAGCACTTTACAAAGTATTCATTATTTACTTATCGTATTCGTAGAACGGAAATTTATAAATTCTATCGTATCGACGAGTACTTTAAATCAACTTCAGTTTTTGTTGTGTCGTTAACGTTTTAATGCGAAAAGGTTACCTTCACTCTTGTCATTTGCTACACATGAATAATAATGATGATAACAATAACAATGATAATAATGATAATGATAATAATAACAACGACGACGACAACAACAACAACAACAACAACAACAACAACAACAACAACAACAACAACAACAATGATAATAATGATAATAATAGTAATAGTAATAATAATAATAGTGACAATGATAATAATAACGACTCATTAAGAAGGATGATTGGGAGAAAGAAACATGGTTTTAATCCGTCGGGAATTCGGTTTTCGCAACAGATGCCCTCCTTCCAACTAAATATACCATTGCTTATGCACTTCTCCCTTTGAGTCATTCTCCTACGATAATCCGTTTGTCACATGTTGAACACATTAAAATTACTTTTAATTCTCGAAGATTTTTCTTTGTACGTTTAGAAAAATACGTTCCAAGAGATTATAAGTTTCCGTGCAACGGCACGGCCAAAAACTTCCTAATTTCTAATCCATACGTTTCGTTATCTACAAATACATGAATGCTTATTGCTTAACTAATTTTGTTGATACCATGTATCATCTCTATTATCAAAATAATAAACATAAAAAAACTTGAGAAACTTATATTTCCGGTAAAATGGCTTTGTCACGTCAAGGATGGAGTAGGTAAATTAGCCAATTATAAAGAATTTTTAAATTGACAAATGCTTTTGTCTTACATTTGTGCGAATATATGGCATGAAGTATATTATTGTCGACATAATTATCGAAAGAACTGATGAATATAATTCTATTGAAAAATGAAAAGAAAGAGAAAAAAAAAAGCCATGGATCTCCGAAGCCTGGATTTCGATCGTTTATCGTTGCAGAGCAAATCTCGTACGGTGGAAGCCTCGGAGCTGCTACCCCCGACGCCACCCACTTCGGTCTCGGGGCCACCGACGCCACCGGCAACGACATCCTCAGGCATGTCGGAGCTCTCCGTTCCGAGCTCCATAGATCTGATGCATCCGCTACAGGTGCCGACACCCTCGACCCCGGCGGATACGAGCGGCGACGAGACGAGCTCGCGGGGTACCCTCGACTCCTTCATCCCGCCGCCCAAGGACTTCGAGGGCAAGAACAACCCCTTCAGAAATCTCAGCGAGCTCCTCGGCGTGGTCGTCTCCTCGCCCGCTTCATCCTCGCCGCTCACCGCCGCCTGCCAGGGCTCGAACACCGGCGGCTGCCTCAATGGCGCGAACTGCAGTGGCTCCGCGATAATGCCCATCTACAATCAGTGCCCGATAACGTTGCCGTTGCCCCTCACCCCTGTCATATCACAACCGCCAATCCTGCGCCCTACCAAGAGGCAGCTCTCCGAGAAGGACATCATTATCGACAGAAACGGCCAAGTGAAAAGGAGGAGACAGCACAGACGCGGTCGACCACCCCAGCAGCAACAGCAGCAGCAGCAGCAGCAGCAACAGCAGTCACTGGTAAGATCGCTTTCTTGTGCTCGCAGTCGCTATTCGCTTCCCTCCATTCCTCATTGTCGGCTATGATCCATTAATGTTTCTCTACCTAGTGGGGCCCTGTACGACAATTTTGAAACGCGATTCGCAATTTTATTGGATTTTAAAAATAAGTTCGTGGTACCTCCAAAGCTCCTGCTTCATAGCGCAATTTAAACACTACATCCTAACGTTGAAGTTATTTTGCCTCTTCCGCCTTACCTTACCCCCTACCCTACCATCCCTCAATCCATCGCCCGTCCTTTCACCGAGCTTTATAATATAGTGATTTCAGGCAGTTACGCTTATGCAATAATGTTTAATTTTGCCATCAATTTGAAACTTTATTTTACGATAATGTCGGTACAATATGAGCGAGAAGTTGAAGGAAACTTTCAACGACAAGTCTCTCTCCAGCAGCTTCATATTCTGTTGCTGATGCAAGATCGTCGCACACGCACGAACGTAAAATCACCGATTCGATCGCTTATGTAACGTTAACGCGACGCATCCTTCAAATCGAGCAATTACCAGAAACTTAATTAATCGATTGTTTATCGGTTAGTCCTCGCATAGCTGTAAGCGTTCGCTCGGGCATTCGCATTGTCGGATCGATTATTCATTCGGATAAAAAAAAAAAAAAAGAAAAAATGAAAAAAATGAAAAAAATGAAAAAAATGAAAAAAAGAAAAAAAGAAAATTATAATATTTCGTATGCCGGGAACGAGGACATAATAATAACATTCGAGCGACGCTAGTGCCTTTTCGGCTTTATAAACGAGACGCTGTCGAGGTTTGGCGAGAAAGAGCTTTCAAAAACATCAGCCATCGTTCGCGAGACTGCCAAAGAGCTATTTAAGGACGAGGGCTCGAGCGAAGCCCACCTCCCCCCTCCCCCAATATCCTCCCAGGTCGGCGCGCATATTGCCGTATGCAAGCGAGACTTTGGCAATCTTGGCAATTGAAGTCGACGGGGGGGGGGGCGTATTGAAAAGAGAGTGACCCACAGTCTTCGACCCTCGACTCTCGACCTTCGACAATAACAACATGTACGATATTCGTTAATGGGCGGTCTAAACTCCGGTGCAGGGATACCAGCAGACGGCGAGCAAGACGGCCGCGATCCTGCCGCCGCGCAACAGCGAGGTGAAGGCGAGCGAGTTCGGGCGCAGTCTGCGCAGCTCGTACGCCTCGAGTTCCAGTAGCCAGGTCGGCAACTACGTGAGCTACGCCCTTAATGGGCGCCGACTGCGCCAGCGCGGTCCCAGCACGGACAAGCTTCTGCCACCGGGCCATCATCCCGAGGCCGGATCCGTCTCGAAGAAGCCCCAGCAGCAGGCGCCGACCCTCGTACCCTGCGGCAACTGCAGCAGCAGCCTCCCCAGCTCGCCGACCAAATGCTCGCCCGTCAAGCAGAGCGCTCCCGACATATCCATGGACGACCTTAAATCCTCGGTGAACATGTACTTTGGCGCCGCGAACAGGATCGCTTCCGGCGAGAAGTTCGTCGTCAAGGCCAAACGAAGCGGGCCCAACGGCCGAGCCCAGTATCTCATCGAATGGGAGGGCCCGACCACCTAACGATTTTAATTGCAGGCCGCCACTGTTACGCGTCTTAAGCGCTCGCCTGCTGCTCGCCGAGTACGTAGTCCTCCTTCTCTTTGCTTATTCGTTGTTTTAGCCGTTCGCTCCCTCGTTCCCTCGTTCCCTCGTTTCATCGCTCCTTCGCTCCTTCGCTCCCTCGTTCCCTCGTTCCCTCGTTCCCTCGCTCCCTCGCTCCCTCGCTCCCTCGTTCCCTCGCTCCCGCGATCCTGGGCACCGATATGCTTTAACGCTTTTTAAACTCGACCGTTACTCTCCCGATTCTTACGTGACGACGAGGCTGTGACCGACGCTGCGACCAAATACGCCAGCCAGGCAATATTTACGATCGTCGCTGGCCATTGAAGTCCATCCAAACTTGGCTTCCTACTCCTAATCTGCGTTCGACTAACACCTGCACATTAGATAACGCATTGAGTAAGTAAGAGACGATCGTCGTCCCCAAGCCCGAGCGCCTCTGGAAGCGCACTCTTGAAATCTTAGGCCTTTGTAAATTAACGATTTATTGCGTATTGCGTATTCTCATTAATCCTCAGTTGCCAGAAACATTAACAAAACAAAAAACAAAAAACAAAAAACAAAAAACAAAAACAAAAGAGAACATCGAATTTAAAATAATTTTTAAGGTTTACCAGTCTCTCGGGCGTTTTTTTTCTTCAAGGGCGATCTCGGACGAGATTGCCTTTAACTTAAAGAATAACATTGAAGGGGTGGGGTTAATGAACAACGCAAGTGTCCCGTTTATTCCTTTAACTTCTCTCTCACTCTTTTTTTTCTATTTTTTTTTCTTTCTTTCTTTCTTTCTTTCTTTTTTTTTTTTTTTTTTTCTTTTTATCGCGTATCTCGTTATTTTATTTTACAATTGTACGACATTCAAGGACGCCGGCATTAAAACGCTCTCCCGAAGATATCGCAGCTTAGAATCGATCGTTTATCATTGTTAACCCGATCTGTGACAGCCAATTTTAGCAACGGGCTACGTCCTAAGGCTCGTTCGTTCAATTTGCCAACAATAGTTAAACAATGCCATTCTTAATTGAAATATAAGAATTATACGTGAAGAGCCAAGTGATGTAGCCGGTAGCATTAATAACGAGCCTTTCGACATAAAAAACATTATCTTTCCTTAAACTATTATCAAAGAAAAAGTGTTACTCATAGGGTTGGATGGGGAGGGGGGGGGAGAGCTTCCGTGATCGTATACAAGCTTAGTAGCCTCCCTAGTCTCTGTCTAACGATTCTAAAATACAGAACGATTAATTACGAAATCGCAATAGCTCAAGCCCAAGCCCCTAATTGCCGTACGTGAGCCAATTACAATGTTTGATTTTTTAATTAACAAATATTTAACAAATAATTAATAATAATAATAATAATAATAATAATAATAACAATAATAATAATAATTTGTAAAACGAGCAAAATCTTTTACGTAAAAAAGTTTTATCTACTATATGTTTGTCTTGTGAAATACTACGGTTTTTGAGTAGCGAAAATACATGTGTGCACATGATGCGTTATCTGGTGATTTCGTTGCTGGCCAACAAGTCACAAATAGTTTGTCGAACATTCAAGCGTAAAAATTTTTACCAATTCTCGCCATATTACGTTGTACTTATTACAAGTGAAATTTTGTATTATTTTTGTAATTTAAATGCATGCATACCGTCCACAAACTTGTAATGAAATTTCTAAGACCCGAATTTTTACAGATTAACCATATTCAAAACAATTTGGTTTATCATAAGGCCAGTGCACAGTAGACGATTCAATTGATTCAAAATTATAACGTTAATTGAAATGATAGATGCGTCGGTTTAGTAAGGAAAAATGGCTTTTCAATTTTATTAAACAACGTTAAAAATTAATAGTCGATTAAATCCATCTTCTTGCAAAGATAGGATTTTTTTTTTTCTTTTTTTTTTCTTTTTTCTTTAAATAGATAAATATCTCCAAATGTCATTAAGTGTGATGAACGATAGCATCTCATATTTTTAACACGTACTTATCATTTTGTTTACAGTTATATAAAAATTTCTATGGAAAGCTCTGGTGCTGGCCGTATCACGATGAATTTTCGCGAAAACACTCACGAGCATTATGCAACAAAAGTAGCTTAAGAAATATGTTTTCTTTATTTATAGTTACATAGTATCCTCAGCATAAAAGCGACCTAACGAATAAAGTCGGTAAAAGCTTTATCGGTGGCCGTTAATGAAATAATATTTTCAGCAATTCTTAAAATGAAAGTCGAGCAAAATGAGAAAATCAATAAACAAATATAAAAACTGGTTGTTCCTCTAAAGTTAAACAAGCATATAATAAGCTAATGTGAGTAAAATCGTACTAGATCTGTGAAATTTATTTTTCGATACAATTATAGAGGTAGTCGTTGGTATCAGCGATTTATCAATTACAGAATATTACTATTTAAATTCAAGATAATTAAAATGTATTAAAATCTTTCGAGTATACGTAATTATTAATTACACAAAGGCAAACAAACAAAAATAATAATGTCCATAGGTCTGTGAAAAATGTGCTTAGAATCATAAAAGAAAGTTTTTAAATTACATAACTACTCCTTGTAAAAATCAAATGCTAATGTTAGAGATTTTTTTTTTTTTTTTTTTTTTTTTTTTTTTTTTTTTAATATATACCAAGCAAGCATATTTACAAAATCAAATATAAAATCGTGAATATTTTACGGTTTTAGATAATAATTTCTGTGGATATTTTTTTCTTATAATGTTTTATTATAAATCATACATTTTCATACGAATACACTGATAACTAATTATATATCATTTACATCTGCAACAAAATTATTTATAATAACAAATACTTCGGTTCTGAGCAACTGTAAAGTCGTCTTTTTCACAATTTGCCTGATAATAATTTATTTCAGTATACAATGGAACAACTAAATAATACAATTTTTCCAATATATTACATTATTACAACCTTTTTAAGTATTAAAGTTTTATGAAATAAAAAGTTACCAAAAAATAATGAAATTAAAAATAATTAATTTACATTATTTTTTTAGATTACGTTTATAATAATAATAATAATAATAATAATAATAATAATAATAAAATTCTTTTAATATAAATAACGATGAATATTATGAATTATTGTGAAGCCAACAAATTATACTTTGTGATTAGTTATAATATAAATGGTCTTAATTGCTTACTGAGTTCATTTTTTCGATAACTGCAGCGGTGATTTTTACATTTGGCTATGCTTATAATTAAGAATTTCATAATTTTAGCATACATAATATTAGTAATATATGGATAATAAATTATAGAAATTACTATAAACCTATGTCCATTGGATACTAAACTCAGATAACTGGCCAAAATATTATTTTTTACACATTTTTGTCCCTATACGAATGCTTTTGATTTTTCAATGTATATAGGGATAAATTAGTGTTGATCAAATTAAAAAAAAAAAAAAAAAAAAAGAGAAAGCGACTTTTCAGTTATTAATATAGAAACCCATGAAATTCATTCATGATGCAACTCTGTGCAAACAGGTATAATTCGTATAGATTTATGTTATTTAATATATATATATCGTATGGTATAAAGAAAGCAGACAAAGCTGAGGTAACAAAAAGAAATGAAGTGGACACTGCCAAATTACAATCTTAATATTTCATAAAGAAAGCCAGAAATTTTTAATGCAATGAGCAGCAATTCTGTTTCTCATTTATTATTCGTTTTTTTTTTTTTTTTTTTTATACATGTGTTTTTTTTTCTTTCATTAATTTTGATTATTGTTGAAATATATTTTTCTCTTAAATAAGCTTATCTCGAAGGTATAAGATTAGCATGATTTTACTTATGAGAGAAATAGTCATAGTCGGTTGGGGGGGGGGGCACGGGAGATTAGAGGAAAGAAGTAAACCAGATTGAAAGACCTTTGATAAACTTTTTGCAGAGCTTTTATTGTACGATGTGTGATTAATGACTACAGTGAATCTGATCTAATCGAAAGTTAGGATATACATGAGCAAAAATGTATAAGCTGTTTGTTTTGACAGTAGAATCATGAAAATTTTAAATTTCTAAATTGGAACTTAAAATGATTGGCTCATATATCGATTCGTAAATAAAATAAAATATGATGATTTTGAAAGAGTTATAAATTTGAGAAAACTATATTTAGAAATAAAGAAATTAATTAAAAAATGTTTCCTTAAAATCTTAAAATATTACTGAGAGAATATCGTTTGAAATGTTTTACTTCCAGTTTTTCAGTTCTTTATCATTTTTTAATGAGAGTGACAAGCAAACGTTATTGACTCAAATCACTATTCAGCTATTGTATATAATGTAATTAATAATTTAAGTTAATTATACACTTTTTAAAAAAAATTTCTTTTTCATACGATATTATGTTAAAGGTTTTGCCAAGACGAGAAAAAAAATTTTTTTTGTTATCATTAGATTTCGTAAGAAATATTTAAAGGTTTCTTTGTTTGTTTTTTTTTTTTTTTTATTTTTTTTTATTTTGATAAAAAATTTTATTATAGTTTAAGCAAATTGGATCACTGTATTATAGGGAATCAATGTTATCGCGAGTAACAAGATAGAGATATATGGGCATAGAACATTTCTTATGATATTTATCAGTGCAGTTTAGGCATGGCTATGGCATATTTATGATGATTTACTACTATTAGCCACGTACGATTATTATTGAAAAATTGTAAATTTAAAGACTTAGTTCAGGCCTTAATCATTAGGTAGCGTAAATTACAGAAGAAAGAAGAAAGAATTCCAAAGGCTTTCGAGAGTGGTTTACATTGTTAATTTAGCAAATTCAGGGGATCATTTGGTGGCAGGGAATATTGATCTTTCATCTCGATTTACACGAGACGAGGATACGTATTTCAGTCATTCAGCAATCTTACTCTTTTTTTTTTTTTTTTGCAAAAATAGGCGAGGGAACATTTATCTACATCACGACTTATTCTCAAGTCGATCGACTATGTAATCCATCAAATTCGACTGAAAGGATTTGTAAAACGTTCGAGCTCGCTGCGAAAGGAAAATAAAGAAAATGTGCACGAAAAGGTTAGATGAAAAATTACTGCCAGTATCGTATGTAAATATTAAT